TATTTTTTTTTTTTTAATTTGTCCCTTCTTTCTTTCTTCCTTTCTTTCTTTTAAGGATTATTTAACTTTGTTTATTTAAATTTGACCAGAGAGGGACAGAGTGAGAGAAAGTGAGAAAGCAAGCCACCAGGCCCAGGACTTGAACCATGGTTGGCCATGTGAGAGTCTAGCATCCTCAACCACCATCCCACTTACTGGCCACTGTCTTGCCCTTTTTTGATGATGAGTTGCTCTAAGCCCAGGATGGGGGATCAGCATCTTTCAGGTAGCCAGGGTTGCATCTAATGGCAAACACCATTAGAAATCCAAGTGAGGTCCTTGTCACAGGAGAATGAATAGTCTTTCTCTTTCTTTGACATATGTATTTGAGGAAGCAGAGAGAGGAAAGCCTTTGGAGACAGAGGTGAAAAGTTTTTTAAATGCTGTTTCCTTTTAATATATGTGATGCTGACGTAAGCACTAAATGCTATTTCCCTTTAAAATGATGAGTTTCAATTTCACTCTAACATTAGTAGATTCCTTTATATTGTGTTTCAGTGAATATACTTTACACTAACTTCTTGTTTGTTTTTTTTTTTTTACATCCTCATTGGTTCACTGACCACTATTTGAAGGTTTCTTTAAAGACCCTCTGTGAACAGTCCAGTGACTTCTGGAGCATCTAACTAAACAAAGACTTAACAGAATAATGAAGATCAAATGGGGATAAGCCATAGCAACAGTGGGGAAAATTGTGCTCTGTGGATACATAGACAGAATGATAAAACTGTAATAATACGGAAATAAACAAGATAAAGGGTAGTGCACATTGGAGGGGAATCACATGGGTAAGTGGGAGTTAGTGTCAACATTCATGTTTATACTGGGGATATTGAGTAATTAAAGATCAGCAATTAAGGAAGAGGGCCTTTCATGGACCTATGATGAGTGCATGCCTGGGTTCAAGAACCAGGATCTTTGTCTCTGAGAGGTATTAAAACAAATCCTTAGGTAACTTAGGACTATATCGATGCCTGTCACATAAAATTCTGGGGAGGATTAAGTAAACTAACACAAGTGAAGCATTTAGGACCAGCGCAAAGAAGCTACTCAGTTTAGTATTTTTCCTCTAGACAGTTATTACTGTAATAAGGAGACAAAAATATCTGTTTATTGTGTTGTCAGGAAAGTAGTGACACATTTTTGTATAGAAAAATATGTCATAGAAAAATACTCTATTCATGTATACTTGATGGTCCTACACTGCAGTCCTTTCTCCTCCATTCTCTCAGGATTTTGGACACACACACACATACCTGGCTTTTTTTTTTTTTTTTTTTTTTTTTTTTTTTACTATAGGGCACGTGCACTCGCCAGACAGACAGAGACAGAGAGACAGAGAGCGAGAAATCACCCTCCCGGGGGATGGCCATGCTGCAACCCCATCTCCTCCATTCTCCTCTCGGGATCTTGGGCACGCACGCACACGCGCCCGGTGTGTTTCAAGCCACTGGGG